AGAGAAGAACTCTAGAAAAAATTCTAAAGCAGATACCAGGCAGTGGTGGTGCATAGCTTTGATACCAGCACTCAGGAGGCAGAGGCAGGTGGATCTCAGTGAGTTTGAGATCAGCCTGTTTTACAAAGTGAGTTCCAGGACAGCCAGGACTATTACACAGAGAAACTCTGTCTCAAAAAAACAAAGAAAAGAAAAGAAAAAGAAAAAGAATTTAAGGCAGGAGATTTGCCAGCCAGACACAGAAGAAGTTGGATGTGTGGTACTGAGGAGAGGTTATGAACCACAGTGAAAGAACATAGATTAACATAACAAGCTAATTCAAGTGTTAATGGCTGGTTGGGAACAAGCCTAAGTTAAGAACAAGCTTTCATAGGTAATTAGAAGTCTCCATGTTATTATTTGGGAGCTGGCAGTCCAAAGAATGACCAGCTACAGTTTAGTTCATTATCAACATATTGGAAAGCATGGTGGCATGCAGGCAGACATATTACTGGAGAAGTAGATGAGAGTTCTACATCCGGATCTGAAGACAGCAGGAAGACAGAGATACTGAGTCTGGCTTGAGCTTTTGAAATTCCAAAGCCCACCCCCCTCCCCAGTATCACACTTCCTCCAACAAAGTCATACCTACTTCAACAAGGTCATACCTCCTAGCCCATCTCAAGTAGTGCCATCCCTAATGACCACTCACCTAAATATATGAGTCTATGGGGGCCATTCCTGTTCAAATAACCACAGGTGCCAACCTAGAAGTCTTCTTTTCCAATTCTACAGTGGGTTCAGGATGACAAGATTTGCTTCTCAGGGTCCATTGAACAGGGCTTTAAATGTGTTAAGCAATAAAAGGCCAAAACCACTAATTCAGCTAGTAAGAGCTAAAGAGCTAGAGTCAGAACGTGAACTTAAGTTCTTAGGGTTTTGTTGCAGAATATCTGGCTAACTATGCAAAGATGTGTTGCATTCGTTTAGTTATGTAAAGATGTGTTGCTGTTTCACCTAGCCTGTCTAAGGCACCTGATTGGTCAAAAGCAAGGGAGGAGGTATAGGTGGGACTTGTGGGCAAGGAGAGTAAGTAAGAGGAGGAATTTAGACTCAAAGAAGAAAGAAAAGGAGATGACAGGGAGATAGCAGGGGTCAGACAGAAGCAGGAAAGAAGAATATACAGAATTAAATAAATGTAAAAAGGTCAAGGCAAAACATAGATGAATAGACACATGTTAAATTGAGTTAAAAGAGATAGTGGGACACGCCTAAGCTAAGGCTGAGCATTTATAATTAATAATAAGTCTCTGTATCTTTATCTGGGAGCTGGTTGGCAGCACAATGAAAATTCCAACTACAGGGTTGGTTTGGTTTTGTTGCTGTTGTTTGGGGCAGGGTCTCACTGTGTAGCCCTGGACGTCCTGGGACTCACTCTGTAGACCAGGCTGGCCTTGAGCTCACAGAGATCCACCTGCCTCTGCCTTCCGAGTGCTGGGACTCCTGACTGAGAGTGTATGCTAGGCTCTTTAGGGATTTTATTGCTGCGATGAAAAAAAGAAATCGAGGAGAAAAGGGTTTTGCTTCAGCTTACACTTTACAGACTATCATTGGGGGAAGCCAGGGTGGGTGTGAGGTGACCAGTTGCTGGAGTTTCTGCCTTGCCTTCCCTGAAATGATGAATTGTAACCTGGAATTGTGAGTTAAACAAATCTTTTCCTCCCCTATGCTGCTTTCTTTTTGCCCGGGTATCTTATCACAGCAACAGAAAGAAGTAGAACGGCTCCATAATTAAATTGCTTTGTAATAGGACCTCTCTCTTTCATTCCTCCTCCTCACGGTGTCTACCCACAGAACAGGCACTCGATAGAATGTTGCTGAAATGCATTATCACTGTAAAAGAGGATCAGGGACCAATTGGAGGGCATTAGTCCTTCTCCACCGTCGGTACCACCATCCCCCAATCAGCCATGCCAGACACCCACAGTCATCATTAGCTTCTCTTCCCATTTTTCAATCCAGTGATTTCACTCCTATGTATTTTGACACACCCTTTTCTGAAATGTCTTACCACTATTCTAGAGTAGGCTTAACCATCTGTGTTATGGTAATAGCTTGCTGATCTCTGCTTCCAGGTCTCCATTCACACATTTGCCTGTCAGCCAGCTGCCAAAGTGAGCTATCCAGAATACAGATCTGGCCATATCTTTCCCAGCTCACTCTAATTTTTCTTATATTGGCTTATTTGTGTTTATGCATGTTTACCGCAGGGCATGAGTAGGAGTTGGAGGACAACTAGCAGAAGTTGGTTCCCTCCTTCTGTCTTCAAAGTCCCTGGGATTAAGCTCTGGTCATCAGGCTTGGTCGAAAGCACTGTTAATATGGAGTCATCTCTCCAGTCTCAAGCTTACCACCTGAAGTTCTCTGAAAAACCAGCTGTGATGCTATACTCCTGTAACCCCTGCACTGGGGAGGCTGAGGGAGCAAGAATTTCAGCCTGGGCTGCACAGCAAGAGCCAAGGGCTGCATTGCAAAAGAATAAATAATTAAAGCTTCCCAATGGATTCAACTGCTTTGTCTGACACACGAGATGTCCCCAGTCTGGCCCTGCCAAATCTCAGCTTCATATCACTTCTCTCTAGCCCCTTGTCCCTTCTCACTCCCAGCAAAGTCCAATGTGACAGCAAGAAGCCTGTTCATGGCTCCACCATATCTGCCTTTGTGTTTCTGGCTTCTTCTTGAACACCTCAGTTACACTTTCTGCTTGGATTTGTTTTTATTCTCTCCTAGCTAATTCTTCATTGTCTTTTAAAGAAAATCAATTCAGTTGCCACACATCCAAGAAGGAGATGGAAAACAGCATTAGTCTGTCAAACCAGAATTAAGGGCCTCTCTTTTGACCACATAATCCTCTGAATTAAGCATCATCATGGGTCTGAATATGTTTCTTTATATCTGTTAAAAGGGCTGTCTCCCTAATATGTTTAAACCTCACGAATACAAGAGTGTCTTACTCATCTTTTTGTCATATATCTAACACATGGTAGGGTCTTAGTATTTGCTATTGTTGGGGTTTTGTTTGGTTGGTTCTTTGGTTTTTCAACACAGGGTTTCTCTGTATAACAGCACTGACTCTCCTGGAACTCACTCTGTAGACCAGACTGGCCTTAGACTCACAGAGACCTTCCTGCCTCTGATGTTATAAATAAATATCAGCGTGACAACAGCAAAATTGAGCCAAGCATGAGAATCCTGATTGCCAGGTCCCATGTGAGCACAAGTCACAATCCACAAGCTCAGCTCTAGGACAAGAGTTCCCAAATCAATTTCAACTGCCTCTAATTTATTAGGGGTCTCTCGTGTGTGTGTGTGTGTGTGTGTGTGTGTGTGTGTGGTGTGGTGTGTGTGTGTGTGTGTGGTGTGGTGTGTGTGTGTGTGTGTGGTGTGTGCGTGGTGTGTGTGTGTGTGTGTGTGTGTGTGTGGGCACATGTGGAGACCAGAGGACCATCTTGGGATGGGTATGGTTCATTTCTCAGGTGCCATCCATTTTGTTGTGAGGGCTTTTGTTGTTGTTGTTACATCCCTTTATTTGGGAAGGGGTACACATATGCCACTGAGCAATTATAGAGGTCAGAGGACAACTTGCAGGGGCCAATTCTCTCCTTCCGCCATGTGGATTCTGGGCATCAAAGAGATCATCAGGCTTGGCAGCAAGTGCGTTTACTCACTGAGTCATTACCCCAGCCCCACCTTGTTTTTTGAGACAATGTCTCACTGGTCTGGAATTTGCCGACTAGGCTAGGCTTGCCCCAGGGATCTGCCTGTCTCTGCCTCCTTGGCATTGGGATTACAAGTGTGTCCCACTGTAATGAGTGTTTCTCTGTCCCGCCAGCTCCGAAAGAATGACACAAAGACTAATCATTAATTATGAAAGATCAGCCTACAGCTTAGGCTTCTTCCTAACTAATTTGCACAACTTAAGTTAACCCATTTTCATGAGTCTATGTTCTGCCACGTGACTCGTGGTTCTTACCTCTCCTCCTGCACATCCTGCTTGATCTGTATTTCCTGGCATCTCTGCCTCTCTTTTTCCCAGAGTTCTCTCTGTCCAGAAATCCTGCCTAGCTATTGGCCATTTAGCTTTTTTTTTTTTTAACCAATCACAGTGAAACATCTTCACACAGTGTAAAGTAATAGTCCACAACATCCCACTGTGCCTTTTAAAAGAAGTGTGAGTACAGGGCTGGTGAGATGACTCATCACTTAACAGGACTGGCTGCTTTTCCAGAGGACCCGAGTTTAATTTCCAGCAACCACATGGCATCTTGACATTGTCTGTGTAACTCCAGTTCCAAGAGATCTGGCACCCTCACATAGACATGCACGTAGGCAGAAACACCAATGCATACAAACAGAAGATAAATCTTTAAATGAAGTGGGTTCCAGGGTTTAACCCAGGTCCTATGCTCATCAGTAAGTACTTCCCTGCCTGAGCCTTTCTCTGCTCTATCACCTAGAGGTCGCTTGTATTTATACCTCAGTCGTCCCAAGTGAGGAAGTGGGATCTCTTCTGGCTTTATGCCTAAGTGCTTAGTCTTCTGAAGTCGTTTTTAAACAAGTTTCTGGGGCTGAGAGAAGGCTCAGAGGGTAAGAGCACTTATGCTCTTACAGAGGATTCAGGTTCGATTCCTAGTACGGAAGGAACACGGTAGCTCACAATTGCCTGTATCTCCAGTCCAGGAAGATCAGACACTGTCCTACAGCCTCTGTGGTACTAGGTGTACACGTTAAAAGGGAAAAAAATCAGTAATTTTTAAAAAAAGAACGAGCCAGGCAATTGATAGTACATGCCTTTAATCTTAGCACTGGAGAGGCAGAGACAGGTGGATTTCTGTGAGTTCAAGGCCAGCTTGGTCTACGGAGTGAGTTCCTGGACAGCCAGGGCTATACCCAGAGGGAGAAACCTTGTCTGGAAAAATAAAACAAGAAGAGAAAAAGAAAGAAACAAAATCCTTTGGGAGCCTGCTATAGTTGTTGACAGCTGTCTTTTTATTACTGATATACTCCATGTGAAAAAAACTTGCCCTCTCTCTCTCTTTAGCTCTCCTAAGTTTCCCCGGGGCCCACATTAAAGAGGGAACTGCAGATTTGGCCTAATGCTCACCAACAGAGAAAAGCTCCTTGATAAGTGAGAGCTTTTAATGAGTTGTTAGGTCCCCACCTGCCACAGCCCCTCCCCATCTGCCACCAGCCAACAGTTGGGGCACACTAGAGAAACCTCCCACCCCAGGCCTTTGCCCTGGGTCCACAGTCTGTATCCTACTTACACACAGCACGGAGAGTGCCTGGCGGCCACATGCAAGAGGCTTAGAAACAAGTCCCTTGTTTTCTAGGGACCAAGGACAATCCCTAATTCCTGCAGTTCCTGAGACCACAAGGAAAGCAGGGTCATCGTGGAGGCTTGGAGACAGGCATCTCATACCAGATTTTGTGACCTGCGTGTGTCATACTGCCTAAGAGAAACAGGTAGGTAATCTGTTGGAAGCCAGAGACTGAAAACAACAGTTTTGCTTTTCGTGTAGACAGTGCTGTGAATTAGATGGAGGGTAGTGTGGGAAGGGGTTCCATAGAAGAAGAGAGTTTAGCGTGGTCCAGAGCTGACCATTGACTCCCTCCCACATTCAGGAGACCATGACAGCTACGCTAACACTCGAAACCAAGGCCAGTGGAGAGGAATATGGACCGAGGAACTGTGTGGTGTGTGGAGACCGAGCCACGGGCTACCATTTCCATGCCCTGACTTGTGAGGGCTGCAAAGGCTTCTTCAGGTGAATGCTTCTCCCCAGCAGAAACAACCCCCACACTCCTTCAGCCCGCCTTGAAACACTGGCACATCTCCAAGCTTTATCCGGCTATGATACTCCCACAGTTAAGCTAAACCATCCCGTGTCTACCACATTCAATCTTGGTGGGTATCACACAGTGACAATAAAAGAGCAGGCCAACCGTTTGCCCTGGAGGCACAGCCTATTAGTTAAGAGCACTTGCTTAGTACACTCTACCTGCAAAGCACCAAGTTAGTACTACACAATGAAGGCTCCTGAGTGACGTTGTGTCCCCATAAAAATGCTCTAGCTATCTCTGAAGACCTCTGGGCACAACTCAGATTAGCCTACTGTTAAGCCATATCTCTTCAGCCTCCTCTTATACCCACCTACCTATCCACTGCCGTCTCAAATCCTACAGAGTCTTTCTCTATCTCACAGACGAACTGTCAGCAAAACCATTAGTCCCATCTGTCCATTTTCTGGAAGCTGTGAGATCAGCAGAGCCCAGAGACGCCACTGCCCAGCCTGCAGGTTGCAGAAGTGCCTAAACGCTGGCATGAGGAAAGACAGTGAGTTGACCCCTTACGGCCCCAGGAATCCATTGAGTATGCTTCCTTGCTGTTTTGTAAACCTAATAGCTCATGTTCCACATAGCGGGCAGAGTAAGCTTTTTGACACTGATCAGATTATGCTGCTATTTCCAAAACTTCAAGTCTCTCTTTTTAAAAATATGTTTTATGCTGGGCGTTGATGGCACACACCTTTAATACCAGCACTCGGGAGGCAGAGGCAGGTGGATCTCTGTGAGTTGAAGGCCAGCCTGGTCTACAGAGAGAGTTCCAGGACAGCCTCCAAAATAATACAGGGAAACCCTGTCTCGAAAAACCAAAAAAAAAAAATTCATTTTTAAAGTATGTCTATTCACCATGTGTTGCCTGGTGTCCAGAGGCTAGAAGAGCATGTTGGATCCCCTGGAATTGGAGTTAGAGGTGGCTTATAAGCTGCCATGTGGGTGCTGGGAATTGAGCCCAGGGTCTCTGTAAGATCAACCAGTGCTTGATCGGAACCATTTCTCCAGTCTCTCCTCCCTCCAATCTCTTTTAAGGTACATGATTTCACACACATCCCACTTCAGACTTTGTCTCTTAAGCCCCTTCAATGCATCCCAGCCACATTGGCTCAATTGACCTTAGCAAGCATATTCCTCCCCAGCCATTCCGTCCTTTTTCTTCTTCCCCATTTGCCATTCCCTCCACCTGAAAAGCCCTCCCCTACATATTCACATGGCTTGCCTTTTCCCTTCCATCTCTGGAGTACATCGTACCTGTCATCTCCTGGCTGCTTCTTAGCTATGCGTTGCTGCTTTCTCTGTGCCAGGTAACTGTGCTATGCCCCCAACAGATAATGAAACTGGCCTCCCACGCCCTAAGTCAGTCAGCTAAGAAGCAGAGTCACACTTCAACATCAGCCTGTCTGCCTCTCCAACTCTTGCTTTTTCCTGTCACACTACTTTTCTTTTCTTTTTTTGGTTTTTCAAGACAGGGTTTCTCTGTGTAGCTTTGGAACCTGTCCTGGAACTCCCTGTGTAGACCAGGCTGGTCTCAAACTTACAGAGACTCACTTGCCTCTGCCTCCCAAGCGATGGGATTAAAAGCATGCACCACCATCGCCTGACTCACACTACTTTTCAACAGGACACTGTAGAAGCCAAATGACATTGATTTGAGTTCCACCCGTATCACTTATTTTATGACTGTGGAAGTGTTACTGGAGTCTGCGTTTCTGAAAAATATGAAGCCTGCCCTGTCCAAGTCAGAATTGACTGTATCTCGTGAAATCTAGCCATAGAACCTTTGAAATTACAATGCTATGCAAATATAAAATGATGTTTTCAATATTAAGACCCTTCTTCAATGTTCCCAAGGACATCTTACGCCCTTCCCACTGTACTCTGCGCCCTTCCCTTCTTTCCCATGGTGCATTGTTTCATGGGCTGTGTATCACGGATGGGCATGAGGTTGGTAGAGGAGTGCCGGGATCTCAGGCTACCTGGAGACACTAGTTGAGTGACGTCCAAGGAAGCCTCAGAAACTTCCCTTTCTTCCTCAGTCTTTCCTCATACGAGGAGACGGAGTAGCCCCGACTCGAGGAGTGGCAGAAAGGTGCTCTCCGCTGCTCTCACGGCTCTCTCTTGTCTAACAGTGATACTGTCAGCAGAAGCCCTGTCGTTGCGGCGAGCCAGGCAGGCACAGCGGCGGGCACAAAAAGCTTCCGTGCAGATGACTCAGGAGCGGAAGGAGCTGGTCCAGACCCTCATAGGGGCCCACACCCGCCACATGGGCCCCATGTTTGACCAGTTTGTGAAGCTCAGGGTGAGAACTTAGAGGATTTGGTTTGGGTGCCTGAGGAGGTGGCCTGAGGGAGAGGGCTACGTGCCATGCTCTGACAGGGCAGGTCTCCAGAATCCCAGAGTGGGCAGGTACCCCAGCCAAAACCCCCTCTAAGGTTGATGAGGACAACCAAGGCTGAGGCCTGTCACTCACACTCTGAACCCACTCTACAGCCTCCAGCTTCCCTGTTCACCCATCACCGGCCCTCCTCCCCGCTGGTCCCCTGAGGCCTGTACTCACACTCTGAACCCACTCTACAGCCTCCAGCTTACCTGTTCACCCATCACCGGCCCTCCTCCCCGCTGGTCCCCCCCGCGTTACCACTGCTCACACACTTTGCAGATGTCAACACTTTCATGGTGCAGCAGATTATCAAGTTCACCAAGGAACTGCCCCTTTTTCGGTGAGTATCGCATGGTCTTTCGGGAAGTAAATGCTTCATAAATCATGCCAGCTTCTGGTAAAAGTCACTTATCCCTTAGCCTTTCCGAGCACTAGTGTGTCATTTAGGCGTTTCGACGCGCAGAGTTAAGTCTAAGGTGCTCTTGTTTTCTGCCCCCGCACAGGTCCCTACCCGTGGAGGACCAGATCTCCCTTCTCAAGGGAGCAGCTGTGGAAATATTGCATATCTCACTCAACACTACTTTCTGTCTTCAAACACAGAATTTCTTCTGTGGGCCACTTTGCTACAAAATGGAAGACGCAGCCCACGGTGAGATGGTAGACCAGCAAAGGGTATGTATCCTTGTGGTATAAGGCATGGAGCAATGGCCAGGAGGCTCCCAAACCTCCCGTCTCTCACAGCAGGGTTCCGGTACGAATATGTGGAGTTGATCTTTCGCTTCCATGGGACACTGAAGCGACTGCAGCTCCAAGAGCCTGAGTATGTGCTCATGACTGCCATGGCCCTCTTCTCTCCTGGTGAGAATCATCCAAAAGCCAAAGAGCGCTGACCCTGCCACCTCTACCGAAACCCTCAGCCCCTTTAATCTACCCCTGACCGTCCAGCTTCCCAGCCCATAGAGTGGGTCTATACCAGTCTCAGCCCCGTACAATGTGAGACTCCTCACCGGTGTCCCCTGCCACCTCGTCCTTCTTGGTTTCTATCTCAGACAGGCCTGGAATCACCCAGAGAGAAGAGATTGACCAGCTGCAAGAGGAGATGGCACTGATTTTGAACAACTACATTATGGAACAGCAGCCAAGGCCCCAGAGTCGGTAGGTAGGAGGCTGGGTGCTCAGAGGCTGCATGGGAAGGAAGGGATGGGAGAACACTGGAATCTGGATGAATGCAGTTTACTGTTGTTTCCTTTGGGAAACCAAGTACTTAGGAATCTAGACCTTCCCTGTCACACACAGTTCCAGTATCTGAATTGCTCACAATGCTGTTCCATTTCACTTTTCCAAGTTCTTTGTTTGTTTGTTTTATTCAGTAGAGATGCAAAGTAGTAGCTCATAGCCTGTGTGTGATAGTATTCCTGAGATCAGTGATATCACCTCACCTCTCCAACTTTTCTAAACTAAAGCAAAATTTTCAGTCTTGTTCATTTTTCTTTTTGGCCCTCTTCCTCTCCCTTGGATCAATTCCTCGAATTTTTCAGTTCCATTTGAAGTCATGGTCATATTCACAGCTTTATGGACAAAGCCTGTCCCTAGTCCAACAGTCCAGGCCCTGAAGTTCATGACACTTTTGTTCTGCTCATCCCTTGATAAATCAGTTTCCTAAGAGTGGGATTTCATACATAGAAAAACACACCCACATTCTAGAGCTCCATCTAGAAGGTTCCACCTCCAGGTTCTATACAGTTGAAGTTGTGGCCAAGTCTAGCACTTCCTTTACACTTGACCTCTAAGCCCTGGGTTCAGGAAAAACTAGCCACAAAGAAGGAAGACAGTGTTGATAGTGGCCCTCTTAGGGATCTCTGAAATTTCAAAATATAGTATGTACCATCCACAGCATGATTTTCTAATGTTCAGACTTAACCTCCTTAAGGGACAGTTCAAGGGAAGGGAGCCTCAGGACAAGACTCCCAAATGCCTTATTTCCCTCTTCTTTCCCTGGTAACCCTACTACTCCCTCCAAAGGTTTCTGTACGCAAAGCTGATGGGCCTGCTGGCTGAGCTCCGGAGCATAAACAATGCATACTCATATGAAATACGGCGCATCCAGGGACTGTCCGCTATGATGCCACTACTTGGGGAAATCTGCAGCTGAGGCTCAGGCTTGCCTCCTTCCCCAGGGCCCCTGGGATTCATTGGACTGGAAAGGGGAAATTGCTGAGCTAAAAGGAGCTCAGTGACAGCAAAAAAACACTGGACAGTAACTGTCTCTTCGTGTGGTCATCGGTGGGGCGTGGAGAGAGCAGTGGGAAGAGAGTAGGGATTTGGGGTGACCATAAGGACAAAGCTGTTCTCTGGAAACACAGAAGATGGGAAAGGAGGAGGCCTCGGGGCTAGAAGGTCAAGTTCCTTCTGGGAATGGGCGGGGCCCATTCTTTGGTCTTTCTATGGCCAAAGGTTTATCTTTAACACTACTTTCCCAACCTTGGAAGGCTGCGGGATGAAAAACTGGGAGAAACGGGATAGGGAGCAGATCCCATGCAGATTTTCCTGCTCTGAAGAAGAAGAAGCTAACACCTTCATGAAATAAAAATAATAAAGAAGAAAGTAAGAAGGTGGGAGGAGCCAGACACATCTCCTTCAGTCCAGAGCCATAGGGCTTGTGGAAAATTACAGTGGGGGTGATGGCAGAATCAGGAACCTCAAACCACTGCCTCATTGGAAAGTGACTGTGTGGCAAGCCCTAGCTCTGAGGAGGACATGGTCCTGTCCCCCCACTCTGCCCATGGAACCCAGAAGTCATCAGCAAGGTAGGCTCTGGAGAGGGACCTTAGGTAGTCTCTGGCCCTAGGGCACCTGACTCAAAGGTTCCAGCTGCTGTGGAAGCTGTCTCTGGGACAACTTCAGCCCACAGTGACGCTGAAGCCACAATGGAATCTGTTGCGCCAGTGATTGAGGAAGGCTCCCAGGGCTAGAGTGACAGGCAGGGGAGGCATCTTCTTCTCCAACACAGCACCTACACACCAGTTACTGTCCACCAAGCCTGCCAGGGAAAGGAGTACCAGTCAGGCTATTTAGTAGGACTTGGGGTAAGGAGTCATCGGAAGTAAGGTAGAGCCTCCCTCCCTGCACATCCTCAAATCCCTCACCACTTCCAAATGTCACAACAACCCTCACCTCTAAACACCATATTGGCCTGGGGCAGAGTCAGGTGGTAACCAAAGGAGAAGGTTGTATCTTGTAGCCTTGTATTGGCCTCAAACTCCACTCCAACTTGAACCTGAGGAGCAGGGACAAAAATGAGAGGGGGAGCCGTTACCATGAATGCCAGAAGAATCCTGGCAGAGTATCAGCAAGCTGAACACGTGTGAAAATGTATACCAAAGTGATGGTAGGAAGAATAACGGGCCAGGAGCCTGGGGAGACCTGAGGGGCAGGAGTTTCTGGAAGACTTACTAGGAGAGTGGATCAGCTCAGTAATCTTACCTGTTCATTTGCCCTGTGGTAATAACTTGCATGGGCCCCACCTGACCCAACATTCAACGTGGCTACCCAGTGTAGAGCTGGGGGGAGCACAGAGGGAAAAGACAGTTACTGTAGTAGATACCAGCGAGGAACCCCAGAAAAACCCGGAGTCACCCCCCACGTGACACCATACCTGAGTACTTCCCAGCCAGAGTCAAGATGGCCCCCTCTTCTCCAGGTCGACGATGATAAACGAGCTCTCCTCCCAGCACCAGCCGATGAGTGACACTCTGCAGGAAGTGGGCAACCATGATCACTGCGGGGGAGTGAGGGGACAAGAGTCAGATTCACATCGGTCGTTCCCACTCCAACCTGCCCAGAAAGTTCCTTTTCTAATCCCCAAACTGCCCTGAAGATGAAACAGCATGATTGGCCTTTTCTTTTTCTCTTTTTTTTTTTTTTTTTTGCAAATGGATAGGAAGAACTCTGTCCCAGTTCCCCACCTGATTCCCCAATCAGGTCAGGGTTTCCCAGGGTCAGAGTGGCTGTGTAGTCATCTCCCCGATATTCGCCGTCAAACTGCCATGTCAGGAACTTGGCCTGCTGTGTCTGGTGAGGAGAGTAAGAAAGAAAACACCCTTCCCTCTTTTTATGTTCAATATTGCCTCTGCTCCTCCCCCTGGGTCCCCCAAGGCAGGGTACCCATGGAAGAGAGAGGGAAGCGCCTCGGTGGGTGGAGGCAGGAACTGTGGGTCACCTGGAAGATAGCCTTAGCTCGCAGTCGCTCTGCCAGCAGAAGCAAGACCTGGGCGTTGAGACTGCCGCTGCTGTCCATATCTCCCACCACAGTGGGGAACACCTGTGTAGAGTGTAGACAGGAAGGCTGAGATGGGTAGGTGTATTCACCGAAACGTGAACACGAAGGGATTTCAGGAACATCCCACAGCGCCCCCTCGTGGACGTCCCAGACAAACTCTGGCATCTTTGCGCAGGACTCTCTCTACCCTCTCCCATTCAGAAGAGGCACAGAGGACAGAGTCTCTGAATGACCTTTCTGACAACATACACATTTCCTCCTTCTCAAGACCCACGTCCATGCAGGGCTCTAGGGAGTTGACGAAAGTGTGGTGGAGCCCTCACCTCGGTGGGGCTGAGCTGCCAGTCCCCTGCATAGGCGGCATGGAGGTGATAGCCGGGCAAGCCCAGGGCACTCATGTGCACAGTATGAGCCACCTGAGGAAAGAGGAGACGGTAGAGGACATAACGTTCCACTTCAATTCCTTACCCCACCCTGGATCTTTTCCTCACCAGGGGTGCTTTTAAAAGACTCAAGTATCCCAACATGTGCAGAGGGTCACTGGATTCTAAGCAACAAGTCCCACAGGCAAAGTCCCACACAGTCTGGCTAAGGCTGGAGTAAAGGGTGTGAGGAAGAGGATCGGGGGACAGGCAGGGAGGGGCCAGAGACGTGGGAGCACCTGGAAATGGCTGCTCAGAACCTTGTTGACAACCAGCTTCACGCCCTCCATCTGAGCTGGAAATACATCTGGAAGAGGTGAGGGGAAGGGAGGATAAGTACAGACAAGGACCCCAATCAAGGAGGTAGACTTCCCGTTCAGTCCCAAAGGAGAGCAATGAAGGAAATGACCTCCTTTCAAATCCTGCAACAAATCGCTCTGCTTTGGGCATCTGATCCTTCTAGACTGCTGGATGCTCCAGCTGGATCTCTCCTTTCTGGTCCCATCACTGGACATCAGCATCCAAGGCCCTTCCCTCCTCTACCCTCCAAGCTGAGAAACCCCAATGCCAATCCTCACCTTTACACAGTCGGTGCAGCTCGTCGAAGCTCCCGGGGTTGGGCAGAGGTTCCTCTCGACGAGGGCTCCGGCGGGGTAAAGTCCCCATCGGTGCCAGGCCCAGGGTGTTCCCCATTTTAGTCCAGAGGACAGGGAGAGTTCGGGGTTAGCCTGGGGAAACAATCTATTGCTCCCTCTATCCCCCACGGGCTCCACCCCCCATCATCAGGCTCCCCAGTTTCAGAAACTTCCATATGGTTCGATGCTAGACCTGCAACAAGGAACAGCAGGGGGAGAGGACCGATGGAAAAATTGAATTCAGGCACACTCCCGCCCCATCGTTGCTCCCTCACCCCCACCTGTCACCCCTGTCCGCTCTGCCATTATCACCACCACCACAGGCTTCAGCTAGCTCCCTTAGTTTCTCTGTTCTTCATTCCCACGTCCCAGGGCTCTGCCCGCAATGGAACACTAGCCCTTACCATCTCAAACCATTCTGTCGCCCCTTTCCCCCAGGCACACCCCGGTCATCTTGATGGGGGCAGCCATCTTGAGTAAGGGCAGAACTATAACTTCAACCTGCATTCCAAGCATGGCTATAAGGCGCCATCTTGGAAATGGGCAAAGGAAGTGCTCAAAGACCCAACCCACCCAATGATGAAAAAAGGTGCTTCAGTTTCCCAGTGACCAATGACAGGGAAGAAGACAGAAGAGTGGCAGGCCTGACGGCCCCAGAACTTCAGTCCGGTGCTGCAGTGGCGAGTGGGAGTTTGTGGGTGGCACTTCAGACTTAAGTCGAAGGCCACATTACTAAGATCGCCCAGCCTCTTCAAGGTCGAGATAAACTTGTGAGAGCACTCAGGACACTAGAGGGAGCCTTTTGTCGCTTGGACCACTGGAGCTCCTAAAACCGGACGTGAGAAAAGCGAAACTGCAGTTCGAGTTTGGAGATGTATTTTATGAAGAGACGCTTAGGGATAGTGAACACACTAGTTCACGTATCTCTCCACCTTCCTGAAATCCTCTGGGGAATACCCACAGCCCTCCACCGTACACCCCCCATGGACTGTTGCTCACAAACACAGCTCTCCCCTAGAAAACAGAACCCTACCACCACTACCTCCGTCCTCTGGAGTTCTACACGCCTGGCTTTCTTGTTAGAATAGGAATGGCTGTGCGCTTGTGGGAGGGGAGCGGGTTATGGGCAGAACTAACTCCTGAAGCAGCTGCCGTCTCTAGTTAGTCCTTCCTTGCAGAACTAATTCGTGAAATCCAGGAAGGCGACTACAGACTGTACTTAGACTCTTTTCCCGGGGCCAGGGGCAGGAGGTAGTGTGACACCAGAGCTGCTTCCCAAGAGAACGGGAACTTGGCAAGATTTCTTGGTCATTGTTTGCGCCCTCCCTCACTGGCTCCCGCACTTCCATCCCTGTATCTCTCAGTAGTGTTCCAGGGCACACAGGGTAAGCTTTGGGGTTCAAAGGGTGAAAGGTAGGCATGTTTTCGGGATCTGCTTAGCTAATTCTTGTCTAGGGAATGTGCCTGTGTCCTCCCACACAGTTAGAGCTGGGCCAAGGGCCGGGACCTAACTGATAAGGTGGTCAAATGACCAGGTACCTTTGACCTTTATCTGGATGGAGCCCTCCTGACTATCACAGTTGGGAGCAGGAGGGCAGAGGCTATTTTTCTGAATTTGTTTTTTTTGGGGGAGTATACTCATCAGTGAGAACCCAGGAGTGTTATTCTGCATGCCCATGCCCCTCTTGCTATCTCATTACACATTAACTCAAAAAAGGACAGAGTCAGCTGTACCTGCTCTGACTTGTTTTCCCCTAAGCCCCATTCCCTGCCACCTCCTACTTCTTTTTCCTTTTCTTTTCTTTCTTTCTTTTTTTTTTTTCTTTTTCTTTTTTGGACTGGGTCTCTCTATGCAGCCATGGAACTCACTATATAGATCAGGCTGGTCTCGAACTCACAGAGATCTGTCTGCCTCTGCCTCCCCAGTGCTGTGATTAAAGGCGTGCACCACCATGCCTAGCTTCTTCCTTCAGTTCTCAAATAACTCTTTGTCAATCAAGTTCCTTTGAAGGGATGAAGGGTGGGGAATGAAGTCTATCCACACTGAGGTAAAGATAACAAGGGCTAAGAGCTTCACGTCAGAGCTCTCCAGAGAAATAACTTAGAATTCTGAGTCCCTGATGCACATGACCCATCAACTTCAGCCCTCGACCCCAAAAGAATAGATCATAAGCGGGTCCTGGTCTTCACTAGAGTGTATACCCCTGCCTCCCTCCTAACACCAAGAGTCCTGTTGGCTTGTTCTCTCGTCCATCTCTGCAGCTTGTTTACTCCAGCACGATCTCTGCCCCCCCCCCCCCCGACTTGCCGTTTTCTGTGTCACCTGACAGGGGTGGGAAAGCGGATGTATATATAGTCCCTGTCTCCTGTCAGGCCCAGAGTACACGCCAAGGACAGCCACGCTGAACAGGTACGACGAGGGAGCAAGAGATGCGAGCAACAAGCCAAGAGGATGGGGCCTCACGGTGGAAAGGGAAAGAGTTGGGTTAGAGTGGGCATTCAGGTGGGGATCCCTGGAAGGAGCTAAAGCCCCTTGACTTCAGTGTCCTTTCCCACCAGCAGCATTCACTGCTCCTGGGCCACGTCCCCACTCCTGTCACCATGAAGCTGCTTGCAATGGTTGCACTGCTCGTCACCATCTGTAGCCTAGAAGGTGAGTTCATGATACAGAGAAAGGAAGCCAAAGGAAAGAAGGTGTGGGGGGGGAGGGGAGGCTTGGCTCCCCAACTTTCTTATGTTTGTATAGCTGAGTGTGCCAACCACAACTCAAGAGGAAGATCATTCCCTTTCTAAAGTCTAAAAAAAAACCAGCAGAACACCAATTTGGGGAAGAGGCTGAAAGCTGAGGTGGATCTTGCGGGATCTGAGGGGTGCCCTGGATTCATTGCTGGGAATCCAGATGAAAAGATGGTTGCTTATGTGTTTGTGTAGGGGCTTTGGTTCGGAGACAGGCGGAGGAGCCAGCTCTGCAGAGCCTGGTCAGTCAGTATTTTCAGACCGTGACTGATTATAGCAAGGACTTGATGGAGAAGGCCAAGACCTCGGAGATTCATACCCAAGCTAGGTAAGTCTCTGGGAGAGGCGGGCTCCAGGGGTTCCAGGACTCCAGAGATAGGAAGTTAGGAGTTCTCACGGAATCTTAACTCAGGGGCTAGGGTTCTGGAGGATGAGGCTTATGTTGGGAAGAAAAATTCCTCCCTCACCCCCATAGATCCAGTGTATTCTTCAGGCAGATGGGGGCACCAGGAAGTGGACCTTGAACTCCAGTCTCTAGTGTCTGCTCTTCTGCTCAATGGAAGGTCTACCGCTCCTCTTACAGACTTTGATATCCCAGGGCACATCACTTGAGAACCTGGGTCAGTCTGCTCTGACCTTCACCACCAACAAAGACCCTGTGGGTGAGTAGGGTCCTTCACACTAACCTCTGGTCCTTCCCCTCCCCAGGGCTTACTTTGATAAGACCCAAGAGAAGCTGACACCCTGGGTCAAGCAAGCTGGAACTGAGCTGATGAATCTCTTCAGCAGCCTTATGAACCGTGAGAAGGCTGCTGTTGCTACTAAGTGAGGCGTCAAACACGGTCTTCCCATCCCAGCTGCCACACTGCCCAGAGCCCCTCGCCTGTATTCTGCCTGTTTTCTGCAATAAACGAGGAAGGAGTCAAACTGTGCCTCGTGTCTTTGGGTGATTGGGAGAAGTGACGGAGTGGGGGAGGAACAGGAGGAAGGAAACAGATCAAGCTGTTTCTAAAAGGGGGAGGCGATGAGAGTTTTGGTGTGACCTGTGGAAAAAGGACTGAAGAAATACGTGATGGACATGATAGATGTCTGTGATAAGTCTCCAAATCTAAGGAGTGTCCCCCGTGAGTGGCTCTGCAGCATGAATGAAGGGCATGGACCTAAGAAAGGAATGAAGGACTTAAGGACAAAACCCCTTGACTTGGGGTCATAGGAAACAAGGGTAATCTTCAGAATTTCTTTGTAAACTTTCTGTGAAAAGATCCTGGGTTTTTTGCTGTTGTTTTGTTTTTTTAAGAGAGTCCAGCTGGGCAGTGGTGGTGCACACCTTTAATCCAGCACTTGGGAGGCAGAGGTAGGTGGATCTCTGTGAGTTAGAGACCAGCCTGATCTACAGAGTGAGTTCCAAGACAGGTTTCAAAGCTGCACAGAGAAACCCTGTCTCGAAAAACAAAAACAAAAAAGAAAGGAAGGAGAGAGAGAGAGAGAGAGAGAGAGAGAGAGAGAGAGAGAGAGAGAGAGAGAGAGAGAGAGAGAGAGAGATCAAGCCCAGCAGTGTGACTCAAGACCTCATCTTTCGTTTTGAACCTGAGGAACACTGTGTTTCCATCACCCCACAATAAAAAGTTAGGTTAACTCTTTTCTCCCAAAGAACTCTAGTTTCTTCACTCAAAACCTCTCATTTAGCTGGGTGTGGTGGCACATACCTGCCTTTAATCCCGGGACTCAGGAGTTCCAGGACCACCAGAGCTACAAAATAGACTGTCTCAAAGCAAAGCAAGCTAGCAAACAAACCCCCAAAGGAAAAAGACAACAAAACAGAAAGGCTAAGGATATAGTTTAATGGTAGAGTCCTTATCTAGCATATGGGAAGCCCTAGGCTCAATCCCTAGCATTTGAACAACCAGTGTAAAATAAACAAAAAACCCTTTTTGTTTTATGTAGAACAATGTATACAGACAAGCAAGTTAGTGTCCCTACTTTCAAGATGACCTCAGACGAGTTAATATTTCAAGGAGCCTAATTTCTTACATAGGTTAGTGAACAGATTAAATGATACAATGGGAAAACATTTTGAAAATATAAATCACTATGCAGTGCTGTGCTGTGCTATCCAGCACAGGGGATTGCCAGGACATTCTGGCCCTTTCTGGAAGAAGAAAGGCAGATCAGACACAGAGCTCACTGCACACTACATGGCTTAAATATCTCCTCGAAGAACTTCCCGGTGACTCTGGGAAGAGACAGGTACTGGAAGGGGATTCCTTGACTACCCATCTTATGGGAAATTACTTCCCATTTGGACCCAACTTGTTCCCTTGGCTTTTCTTACCTCCAACCTCTATCAGGTTCGAAGGTCCTTCTTGCTCCCAAATCCCCTAAAAATTCATTGTTCTCATAAAAGTCTTTCACTAGGAGGGTCACATGATCCTTGTCATCACATTCCTTCTGCATGCTTGGCTTTTCAGTTACGCTAATAAAACATGCATAAGCTGAATTGGTATTATCTAGATTGGTGACTATTTTGGGTTAGACATACAGGCTTCTCCACAAACCAATCATGATTCATTTTTTCAGACACAAAAAGCCACCCTGAGTACAGAAGTAATTTCTTAGGTTCTTTTTTTTTTTTTTTTTTTTTTTTTTTTGGTTTTTCGAGACAGGGTTTCTCTGTGGCTTTGGAGGCTGTCCTGGTCGGCTCTGTAGACCAGGCTGGCCTCAAACTCACAGAGATCCACCTGCCTCTGCCTCCCGAGTGCTGGGATTAAAGGCGTGCGCCACCAACGCCCGGCTAATTTCTTAGGTTCTAATGTCTTCAAATACATCCATGTCCCCAACACAGAGTGAGAGTGTGTGGAAATGTTCCCTGTTCTAGTTTCATCTCAGAGCACCCAGAGACCAAGTATCTTATCATTCATCTAGATATAGTCAGCATTCATACCTCAAAAGAGCAAAATAGCCAGGCAATGGTGGTGCCTTTAATCTTAGCACTTGGAGGCAAGGCAGGCAGATCTCTGTCAGTTTGAGGCCAGCCTGTTCTACAGAGTGAGTTCCAAGACAGCAGGGCTACAGAGAAATCCTGTTTTGAAAAAAAAAAAAGTAAAGTAGCCCTAAAGTCCTGTGTTCCCAGCAGCTGAGTCTGCCTTACTCAGAACTGTATCTTCAATATGCAGCCTAATGCTTAGTGCAAGCTGAACCAATTATATGATAAATGACAAAATGAGTAGTCAGATCTATGGCAGCTTTATTAGAAGGTAATCCCTTTCCAGCATTTAGCCCGAGCTGGGGGTCAGGGAAGGCAAGAGGAAGGAAGCACAGGGAGGGACATGTAGGAAAACAAACATGTGCGAGTAAGTCTTTCACGGGGACGAGGAACTGCCAGTGTGCATTAGTTTAGAGTCCAGTGTCATTATGGGAGTTAGGTGAGCCAGCATCAAAATCAAGGAGGTAGCATAGTGACAAGGACCATGAGGGCCAGGAGAGAACTAGAAACAGAATGCAACCAAGGCCGTGTGTTCTAAAGCTATTGGGGTGGTTTCTCGTGCTTCAAAGTTTCGTACATCTCTTGGTTCCGGGTGCTCAGGCCCTGGAGGAGAGTCAAAGGCTGATGAGGAGTTTGAGCTCATCACAGGGCCCCCACCCACATTACAGACCCCCATTTCTATCAAGGTCACTTTAAACCCCAACCTCTTTTTCTGACCCCCTAAGGTAAAGAGGTTCACTCACCGTGTAAACAGGATCTGATTTCTGTACAGATGGAAGAAACAAGGGTTAGAGTTCTACACCTTCTTCAGGCTCCCCTCCCGTCATCTTTCCCATCCGGGTCAAGGTTAGCATTAGCTTCCTTAAGCCAGGAGCACTCACATGATTGCTTATTTACCCATATGGCTACAAACACACCTCAGCACAACATACAAGTCTCATGTATTGTCACTCTTCTTGCTTCTTTCCTGTCCCGATATTTTATTTGTAGCTCAACTAGATAGCAGGGTGCTACCCACCCTGAGGTGAGGGACGGTACAGATTAATACCCAAAACACATGCCTTCCTAGAGGCCTCAAACCTAAGGCTAGTAACCCAGGAAGGTTGAGTGCATGAAGAAAACTGTTTACTCAAAGACTGGGAGACTCCATACCTCAGGGCTGGCTATAGCTGCCTTTCGGACCTGGATCTGGAATGAGGGAAAGGCAATCAGAAGGGAGAAGTTGGAGGCCCATCTCCTCCCCCTCTAAACCATGGAGAACCCCTTTGGTTCCCCTTCCTGCCAGCCTCCCATTTCTGGGTCCAGCTCTTAGACCATCCCACCTTACCTTGAGTCGGCAGTAGAGCAGGGTGAGGACAATACCATACAGAAACAGGATGGCATCCAGGATGTAGCAGAGCTGGGGCTCTCCCAGGGCAGCTGAAGGGATACAAGGTACCCATGGGACCCGGTGCACGAGGAAGGGGAAGGCTGTTGCTCAGATGAAGGGAAAGGGATCAGGGAGGTGGGATAGGGCCCTGTGGGGGTCCTTCTGAGGGAAGAAACTAACCCTGCCTTTAGACTGTCCTTTCTCTTACTTTCCTCTCTTCCCTCACAGACCATGGAAAGAACTGGATAGAAGCATGAAGAGTTCTGTTGTGGTAGGACTTGCGTTCACTGAGGGTTAGAGACTTCCCTGTCAGCCCTAGGACTCTCCTTTCAGTATTGTGGTTCCTCAGGCATCGTTGAACACTTCTTCTACCTCAAGGACCCATCAGAGTTTACTGGGCTGAGACAAAAACCTCAGCCCAGAGGGGGAGGGGAGAGAGAAACAGTGGCAAATTTCAGCAAAGAAACCACAAGAGTGTGTCTCTGTAAGTCCTGTGACCTGTGGCTGAGGGCTGGACAGGAAGGATGTGAGCTGGTGAAGGGAAGAAGGGCAATTACTCTATTATTGGTCATCTTCTCAGCCTCACTGCTTTTTGCCTCATGAGGCACTTAACTTTACCAAAACCCAACCAGACAAAACCCAAAGTGACAATGTTTCGAGGCTCTATGGAAACCATTGATTCAACACATAAAGCTGGATGGTGAGCACAGCTCAAAGGAATGACCACAAACTAAATCTAAAATACGGATTCTTCCTCCTGCTACTCTGCCCTGTCAATCATGCTAGGCCTCTAAGAGGGGAAGTTTGTGCAACTAAAAAAAAAATCACACAGAAGCTGAGAGTGTCAGGTCATGCCTATAATCCCAGCACTTGGGAGGCAGAGGCAAGAGTACTACCATGAGTTTGAGGCCAGTCTGCGCTATATAATGAGTTCCAGATCAGCCTAGGATATAGAGTTAGATCCTGACAGAATAAAAAATAAAATGTCAGTGGAACTCTAAGTTTGACACCAGGGCTACACAGAGAAACCAACAAACAAACAAAACAATTGGCAACGAACAACCCCTGCCCCCCCCCAAAAAAACCCAAGAAATGAAACTCCACAATCAACAAAGGACATAGGAACTGAATATGGTGGCCCCTCACAATCTCGTGAGGCTGAGGCAGAAGAGTGTGGATAGTGCCAGCCTGGACTACATGAGACCCTGCTTCAAATGATCGCACAGGAGCTCGGCTCCAGATTGCTCCCGCTTTATAAGCTTTATCAGGTGAACGCTAGCCTGCTGCTGGGACCTTGATTACTTTTGCCTTCATTTCTCATCTGATGTGCGAGTCTCTAAGAGTGGGCACCCTATGCTGCCCATCCTCCTACCAGTTAATGAAATGGTGTGGCCCTGTCCTCTTCCACACAAGTCAAGTTGCCAAGACTGGTAAAGTGCTTTTTAATCTACAACACTCCCACACAATATTGCATAAATCTCAAAACTACCTTGTGAAAGAAGCATCAACATCATTTTACGGATGATGAAAAACAGGTACTCAGAAATGCTTAGAAACGCTCAGAACCAGAGTTAAGCAACAGAAAAGAAACCCCAGTTTTTCTGCCTCCAAGCCCATGCTTTCCTTTGTGCTCCTCCTTCCCAGCCACTCTTTGGTTCCCTAGGGGTTTACGCCACCCTCTGTAAAGGCCAGCTCCCCACCAGTGCTCCCAACCAAGCTCCTTCCTTATAGGTACAGGCCCATAAGCACAGCACTTGGGAGGTGGAGGCAGGAGTATTAGGAAATCAGGGTTAGTCTCAGCTAAATAGGGAGTTTCTAGCTTAGCTTAGGCTACATAATATCCTGTATCCCCAAAACAAGATAATTGCCTCACATTGATAGAATGCAAAATAAGCAAAAGCTGAGGGGACTTCTGGGGCAGCCTAGAACCTGAGAGCCACTGGCTCTTAGGGCTGTTGCTTTTACTTCTCAGCTGATTGAGAACACAGGACTCTGCACCGTTGTCTACCATGTCAGCTGACAGAGTGCTATGGTCCTGATCAGCCCCAGAAAAGGTTTTTGTTTTTGTTTTTTGAGACAGGGTTTCTCTGTGTAGCTTTGACTAGCTCTGTAGACCAAACTGGCCTCAAACTCATAGAAATCCACCTGCCTCTGCCTCCCAAGTGCTGGAATTAAAGGCGTGTGCCACCACCGCCCAACTCATCCCCAGAAAAGGTATTCATGTCTGTTTTGACTCCCCTGCATTACTCCCAAGCTCACAGACAGGCCCTAGCCTAGCTAGAGGGCTTTGTATATAACTAGAGATCTCCTCCCCAGAGACCGAGAGCATCCCACGGTATTGCTGATCAAGAGGTGGAACTTTCCTAGACAAGCTCTTCATGCTGTAGTCTCCACCCCTGACAAGCTTGACTCTTCATACTGGTCCTGAAGTCAGTATTGAAGGTTAAGAAAAGGGCAATAAAGATGGAAATGGTGAGTGGTACCTGGGTGGGGGACCCAACAGGGCTAACTTCGGAGTCTGCCTCAGCTCTGTGCCCACGCGCCCAGCACCAGCCTCTTCCTCCATTCCCAATTCACGCCCTAGATTCCCACTCAAGAACAGCTAACATCCCCACCAAACCCTTTCACCCACCTGCTTGTTCGACCAAAAGGAGCAGGAGCAAGACCACGGCTGGAATCATCTTGGACAGGGGCTTCGGGGCTGGGAGGTGGCGATCAGACGCTCTGACAGAACTGCGCAGCTGTGCCCACGAACAGTTCCCTGACCACAGTTCCCCCCTTCCTGCCACGCCTTCCCCCCCACACTTTGGCCCCTTCCCCTTCCTGCACTACAGACCAGGCGGCTCCGGAAGGGCCAACTAGGGGAGCTGGACGATCTGACCTCTACGCCTCAGCCCTTTCAGGGACCAATCTCCTAACCCACAGAATGAACAGAATTTCACGCCTGGGAAAGGCTGTCTGTATCGGCCATGTTTAACAACCCCTCATCTATCGTTCAGACACAAGTCATATACATGTGGCAAACTGCCCCTTGAGATGCCCTTAGACCCCACCACAGCCCTTACCTTCCTTTCTGAAACTTTATTCACTTGAGTTTACCAGTTTGTATAGATGCTAAGAGGGTTTGGGCAGGAGGAACTGAGGGGAAAGGGGAAACGGGGAATGGAGAAGTGGAAAGGGCAAGAGTCAGAGGGGGTGGAGACTCAGCTGGGAAAATAGAACAGGGAAATACAAAGTGAAAGACAGTAAGACATCAAGAAAGACTCATTAGGCCGGGCGGTGGTGGCACTCGTCACTCGGGAGACAGAGGCAGGCGGATCTCTGTGAGTTCGAGAGCCAGCCTGGTCTACAGAGAGAGTTCCAGGACAGCCTCCAAAACAATACAGAGAAACCCTGTCTCGAAAAATCAAAAAAAGAAAAAAGAAAGACTCAATAGACGCTTGAGCGTAGGGGCCGCAAGGCGGCTAATTTATTATAATTTCTCTTTTTCTAGTACATGCACAGAAAGCCTGTACAGCTAAGTCAGCATGTTTGTTTACACACAGAGACACAGCCTCATTTCCTATGAAGGACAGGCCTTGCAGATGAAGCTGCCAGGCACAGGAGCTCAAAGGCTATGCCTTTGTTCATCGGTCTATTTCTCCAAATACAATATCCTGGGTACCTAGAAGGTTAGAGATGAAGTGTCATCGCCAGAGGGTCAGAGCACATGACTGTGTCCAAGACACAGATTATGCTGAACAGGGAGCATTTGGATTTGTTCCCAAACAGAATCCCAAACCCCTGCATAATAGGTCTCATACCTATGATGGCTACGACATCTGCCAACATGTGTCCCTTAGACATCTTGTCCAAACCAGCCTATGGGGATGGGGATAGCAACACGTTAATATAAGTTTACAGAGAAGAGCTCTTTAAAAATCTCATCCAAAGACAGGGTGTGATAGTATATACAGTTAAGTACAGCCCATGGGTGGGTGTTTGAGTTTGAAGTCAGCCTAGTCTAGAGAATTCTAAACAGTCAGAGCTATATAGTGAGACCCTACCTCAAAAATAAAGCAAAACAGAACACCATGACAACAAAAACCCCAAGCCAAAATCCTCATCCAAGCCAGGCACAGGAGCACATGTGTGTAATTCTAGCACTTGGGAGTCTAAGACAGGAGGGTCACCGAATCCCAAGGATGGTCCACACATAGTGAGCTCAAGGCTAGTTTAGGTTATGTAGCAAATTTCTGTTTCAACAAATAGAACAAGACAAAATCTCATCCAAGAGTTGGGTGTGGAGGTATATACCTGTAATCCCCGTGCCTGGAAAGCTAAAGCAGGAGACAGTAAGTTCAAGGCCAGCCTTAACTACATAGGGAGTTCTAGACAAGCCAGGACTGTATAGCAAAGTCCTATCTCAAAAAGCAAGGTGCTGGAGAGAGACAGCCTAGCTGCTGAGAGCATGTACTGCTCTTGCAGAGAACCTGAGATTGGCTCCTGAAACCAACAACAGGTAGTTCACAACTGCCTGTAACTCCAGCCCCAGGGTATCTGATGTCCTCTTTTGGCCTTGGAAGGCACCTGCACTCATGAAGCATACATACACACATATATAAATAAGCTGAAAATAAACAAAAACCCTCAAAGTCAGTAAATTATTAATGATTGCAGTTAGAACCATTGAGAGTGTCTTACCAGGTGGGCAAACCCAGGAGCCTTGATCTTGCACCGATAAGGACGGCTGCTGCCATCAGATACCAGGTACACCCCAAACTCTCCCTGTCCGAGGAAGAAAGTTGAACGCCCCATTAGTAGGGAGAGTGTTCTTCTCTTCTGGTTATCTTTATACCTTCTCTGGCACTAGTGAGGCGCACTCCATTCACTGTCTACCTCCACAGACTTCTCCTTCCCCTCCGCTCCTCACCTTAGGAGCTTCGATGGCAGTGTATGTGGCTCCTGGAGGAACTTGGTAGCCCTCGGTATACAGCTTGAAGTGATGAATTAGTGACTCCATGGAAGTCTGTGGGGAGGAAAAGGGAACATCAAGAAACCAGATCCAGACAGGGGTGGTGGTGCACGGCTTTAATCCCAGCACTGGGGAGACAGAGTCAGGCGGATCTCTGAGTTTGAGGCCAGCCTGGACTACAAAGTGAGTTCTAAGACAACCAGGGTTGTTATACTGAGAAACCCTGTCTTGAAAAAACAAAAAAATAAAAAATAAAGACAAGAAAAAGGAAAGAGGCAGATCCAAGCCCCCCCCCCAGATAACAATCTCTGCCCTTTGGAAGACAACAACCACATGTAAATCAGGAAGCACTGAAGACAGACTAAAAGACGAGTGTGGCAAAAGTTCAGTCAAAGTTAAACAGAAAGGCAGGATGTAATCTAGGGACGCTGGTCCTGTCCCATGCCCAGTCTCTCTCCTCTCCCTGCAGCTCACCTTCATCTCTGCTCGTTTAGGTGGAGACACTTTGGCATCATCAACCTTGATCTCCCCCGGAGGCATCTTGTTCAGACACTGCAAAATGATTCGCAGGGACTGGCGCATCTCCTCCACACGACATAGGTACCTCAAGTAGATGAGACGGACTTAGAACAGGAGAAAGCAGACAGAGTACACAGGGGTCTCATGATGTCCTTTGGGAGACCTCAAAGGTGTTAGGTAAACATTCCTGCTTCTCCTGGAACAATTTCTCTGCTTGCCTTGGTTGCCCATATACACCCTGTAGTATTTGGAGCCTATCATTGGTTCCTCCAAATCTTTTTTTTTTCTCAGAACATGTAGTTTTTCCCTTCCTACCCTCTTAAACACAGTTTGGACTACAAAGTAAGGAAGTCGAATGGAAAGGTAAACAAAGAGAACAGAAGTAAATGTTACTCAAGGTCAGTAAACAGGAGTGGATACTGAAGCTTAGACTCAAGTGGGAAGATCGCTGGGTCAGAGGATTCCAATCTCAATCACTAACAGGTTAATCCTTAACTTATGCTTCAGCTTTTTCAGCTGTTAAGTCAGGATGGCAGGATAAGGGCAAAAAACAAATGAATAGCATTGTTATTTGGTGTGTGTGTGTTGTGGGGAGAATACTAAGCACACCTCTTACCAAATTTAATAAATTTTACAGGCTCCTGCAGATACTAGGACACAGAGCAAAGAAGCCACTAAGGACAAAGAGCTGAGCAAACATTCGGGTCTTACCTGTCATAGCAGTCCCCTCGAGAACCAATAGGAACATCAAACTCGACCTGGTCATAGACATCATAGGGCTGGGTCTTCCGCAAGTCCCACTGGATGCCTGAGCCTCGGAGCATCACTCCACTGTAGGTATAAAGTGCATAAGGGCCACCCTCCTCAAAAATAGGAAGGGACACACAGGCTTCCTATCTCCTGCTCCCTCCCCTCCCCAACACTTTGGTTATGGAATACAAACTCAAGGTATGGAGAGAAGAATACCAAACATGCTTGAAACCAAGACACTGGGCTATAACTCTCCACAGTATCTACCAACCCCATAGAAAGAAGTTGTATTCTCCTACCTGAATCCATAGTTAAGGGCATCTTCTGCTGATATAACCCCAATATTGACTGTCCTATTTCGCCAGATCCTATTGTTGGTCAGCATCTATGGATGGAGAAATCCAGGGAGCTAATATTCTTCATGACAACCCTTTTGGGGGATAAAGATTTTTTTCCCCACTGACTTCTATCTTACCTCCTCCACCTCATCAATCCGAAGAGAAAAGTTCTTAGAAAACTCGTAAATGTCATCCATAAGCCCAAGAGGAAGGTCCTAGAAACCAAGTGGTGATTCTTGTTGCAGCACCCCTTTCCCATGGGGACAGAGCTCTGTTCCATAAGCCCATACTGCCCTCCAGTGGTCAAAGAGGAAAGAGGCCTGGGCCGGAAGTGTGGAGGCAGGAGAGCCACTCACCTGGTGCACTCCTCCTGGTCGGATATAAGCAGCATGCATCCGGGCTCCAGACACCCGCTCATAGAACTCAAACATCTAGATAGAACCCACTGGGAATTAGAAACAAAGTCCCTGGAAACCCAAGTCCTGCAACATGGTAGGTAGTCCACTGCCCTAACTCTGACTTCCTGCGGCTAGTCAGACGCCTCATGACACAGAATTCCTACAAATACAATCCAACAAAACGTTTCCATCTGTCTCCTTCCTGCCCTCTCTACTTCCTGCACTTCCTTCCCTGTTCCTATCCACACCTCCCTCGTATACCTTCTCTCTTTCTTCAAACATCCAAAAGAAAGGAGTCATGGCACCAATGTCCAGGGCATGTGTGGTCACAGCCATGATATGGTTCAAAATCCGCGTGATCTCTCCAAACAGCACTGTGAGTCGGAAAGAAGAAGTGATGGACGGGGCTCGTAGAGGCTTGCTAACAAATCTGGAGCTGACTCCCAAGTTGCCCTCTGACCTCCCCACACATGCCTTGACATATGCCATTTCACACACATCCACATGCATAACATACAAAATAAATATTTATATTGTGGGTGTGGCTTTTGTTTTTGTTTTTAAGAAAGAAAGACATAGGAGCCAAGGACTCATCCTGCAGATCAGTGTGGGTGGAATCTGGAATCTAAATATCAAAGCTGAGTTCAATGCACTTAAGTTGTTCTGTGCTCACAGCTGCCAGCAGAAAAAGAAGCAACCTACCTCGGATCCACTGTGCCCGGGGAGGAGGCTGGATGTTTAGCAGCTTCTCCACGGCTAGAGAATAGGCCTGTTCATTACACATCATGGACACATAGTCTAACCGGTCAAAGTATGGAAGGGCCTGTGAAAGGGAGGAATGCAGATCACATCTAACAGGCCCAGGAGTGCACCATCTGCGGCTGGAAACCTTCCCCTTGTCAGGTACTGGAAGTCGGTATTTAACCTTCAGAGTCTCAGGAGTCCCAGCAAAGCAAAACCAAAGCTCCCATGACAAGCTTATATAAAATTAGCATAAAATGTTTAAAAATTGGCTCTCTAAAATGATGAGAAGACCTTGGCTTGGGCAATTTCCATGGTGAAAATCCTCCCACCATGGTTCATTTTAAGCTATCAAATGTAATTGAATGTACCCTTGAGACACACGACACAGCATTATCCAGGATCTTTATAACACAGATCAAAAATCTTGTCTACATAGTGAGTTCCAGGATAGC